AGCTTCATCCATGTTGCAGCATGTATTAAAATTTCCATCCCTTTTTAAGATTGACTATTTCATTGTACGTATATACTACTTTTGCTTTTCAATTCAGCCATTAATGGGCATTTGGATTATTTCCATGTTTTAGCTATTGTGATATAGTCTAGAGTAGTTCCCTCTTAACCAAGGGGTGTGTGTTCCAAAACCCCCAATGGATGCCTGAAACAATGAACGGTACTGACCCCTATAAATACTATGTTTTTTTCTTATACATACATACCTATGATAAAACTTAATTTATAAATTAGGCACAGAAAGAGATTAACAATAATATAAAATAGAATAATTATAACAGTATACTATAATAAAAGTTATGTGGATGTGGTCACTCTCAAAATATCTTATTGTACTCTACAAACAGTATAGATAATCTGAACAAAGGGAAGATTCATGTCCTGGGTAGGATGGAGCTGGACAGTGCATTATTTTGTCCCACTGCTCAGAACAGTGCACAATTTAAAACTTATGAATTGTTTATTTCTGGAATTTTTCATTTAATGCTTTTGACTACAGTTGAACATGGATAATTAATATTGCAGAAAGCAAGACCATGAATAAGGGGGGTGTACTACTTTATTTTGTCTAATACCTATTAGTATAGCCATCCTTGATGTCTTTGTGTTACTATTTACATGGAATATCCTGTTTTCATCCTTTCACTTTCTACCTATTTGTATCTTTGCATCTAAAATTAGTCTCTTATAGCCCTAGCTGTTATGGCACAGTTGGTTGGGCATCATGCCACAAACTGAAAGGTTAGGGGTTTAATTCCAGGTAAGGGCACATGCCTAAATCACAGGTTCCGTCCCCGATCAGGATGTGTGCGAGAGGCCACCAATCGATATCTCTCTTTCACATCAATGTTTTTCTCCTTCTCTTTCTCCCTCCATTCCCCTTTCTCTGGAATCAATAAGAGAAAAAAAATAAATAATAAAATTAGTCTCCTGTAGACAGCATGTATATGGATCATGTTTTTTCACTTATTCAACCAATCTGTGTCTTTTGTTTGGAGAATTTAGTCTATTTACATTTAAAGTAATTACTGATAAAGAGGTACTTCTGTTATTTTACCTTTTGTTTTCTACATGCTTTATAGATGTGATGTGATCCTCGTTTCCAGCATTACTGTCTTCTGTGTTCCATTGATTTTTTTTATAGTGAAACATTTAAATCTCATTTCCTTTTGTGCATATTTTATAGCTGTTTTCTTTGTGGTTACCATGGGAATTACATGAGCCTGTCCTGTGATGTGACAGGACACAGCTATCGGAGCACATATCCCTGATATTTGAAGGACAGAGTTCTTTTGGCCCACCTTGGCTCCCGCAAGCTGCTCTTAGGACAGCTGCCTGTCACTAGGCTGGGGTGAAGTATGGTAGCTACTAGTGTGCTAAGAGCTAAAATTCACCAATTTACCATCTAAGCCTCATTTCAATCCTTTAGCAGACTCCACAGTTCCAAATAGTTACATCAGACAGATTCAGGCAGCACATTTGTCTAGGTGGAGAGTAAGATTCTTGGTGCTTTCTACTTCACCATGTTCCCAGAATCTTGTCTAAATGACTTTTTTAAAAAGTATATTTAAAGTAGACTATTATGAGAAAGCAAGGAATAGTTCTTTATCTGTGTCTTGAGAGAAGGATATAAACATAGAAGTAGGAACATTAGTTCATTGGAAGGGAAAAGGGGAGTTCATATATAATTACTTTAACCTTCTCTGTATAGTCAGAATCCAATTTAATATGAGCAAGGGGGTTAAGGAAGAATTCCTCTTATGGAGAGTTCTGTAAAAACCTTGGGAAACGATCCAGAGAGTCAGGAGACTTTAAATATACTAATTCAGGAGTATCCCATATGTGTACAGTTGTACATGAAGTTGTAATCCTGGCTTGTAGAAATAAATAGGAGTTACTCATTAGAAATTGACAGTTTTTATAGGATTTCTGGCCAAGATGGAGGTGTAGGTAGATACACCTTGCCCCCTCTCACAACAAAAGAAGGACAACAACAAATTTAAAAACCAAAAAAACAACCAGAACTGCCAGAAAATCAAGCTGTATAGAAGTCCAACAACCAAGGTGTTAAAGAAGAAGCATTCATCCAGACTGGTAGGAGGGGTGGAGAGAGGCAGCCAAGATGGAGAGGACGCATGGCAAGGTGACGGGTGGTGGTCCCATATTTGTGTGTGGATAAACCAGGAGGAACAATTGGGGAGTGAGACAGTCTGCACAAACCAGGGTTCCAGTATGGGAAAAGAAAGCCTCAAAACCTCTGGCTGTAAAAAGCAGTGGGGGCTGCAGCAACAGTGGGAGAAATCCTATAAAAACTGTCAATTTCTAATGAGTAACTCCTATTTATTTCTACAAGCCAGGATTACAACTTCATGTACAACTGTACACATATGAGATACTCCTGAATTAGTATATTTAAAGTCTCCTGACTCTCTGGATCATTTCCCAGCTTCACAGGAGAGTTCAATTGAGAGACCCCCAGGGTCCTAGAACATACACAAACCAACACACCCAGGAATCAGCACCAGAAAGGCACAATTTGCTCGTGGGATTTTTGGGAAGTAACTGAAAGCTGGCTGAGAGCCGAGTAAGCAGCATTTTTCCCTCTCTGACCCTTCCCCTACATGCAGTGCCACAAAACAGCAACATGGGTTGCCCAGCCCTGGTGAATACCTAAGGCTCCGCTCCTTACAACATAACAGGAGTGCCTAGACAAAGAAATATGGCCCGAATGAAAGGACAGATCAAAACTCCAGCAAAAATACACCTAAATGATGATGAGATAGCCAACCTATCAAATGCAGAGATCAAAATACTGGTAATCAGGATTCTCACAGAAATGGTTGAGTATGGTTGCAAAATAGAGGAAGGAGTGAAGGCTGTGCAAAATTAAATAAAAAAAATACACAGGGAACCACCAATTAAGGGAAGGAAACTAGGACTCAAATCAATGATTTGGAGCAGAAAGAAGAAATAAACATTCAACCAGAACAGAATGAAGAAATAAAAATTCAGAAAAATGATGAGAGGCTTAGGAAACTCCTGGACAACTTAAAACATTCCAACATCCAAATCATAGGGGTGCCGAAGGAGAAGAGGAAGAGCAAGAAATTGAAAACTTATTTGAAAAAATAATGAAGAAGAACTTTCTCAATCTGGCCAAGGAAATAGTCTTCCAGGAAGTTCTGGAAGCCCAGAGTCCCAAAAAATTGGACCCAAAGAAGCACACACCAAGGCACATCATAATTCCATTACCTAAGATTAAAGATAAGAAGAGAATCTTAAAAGCAGCAAGAGAAAAGGAGACAGTTACCTACAAAGGAGTGCCCATAAGATTATCTGCTGATTTCTCAAAAGAAACCTTGCAGGCAACAAATATTCAAAGTCATGAAAGACAAGGACCTACATCCAAGATTACTCTATGCAGCAAAGTTATCTTTTAGAATGGAAGGACAGATATAGTGCTTCCTAGATAAGATTAAGTTAAAGGAGTTCATCATCCCCAAGCCCTTATTACATGAAATGTTAAAGGGACTTATCTAAGAAATAGAAGATGATCAAAACTATGAACATAAAATGACAACAAACTCACAACTACCAACAACAACCTAAAATGAAAAGAAAAATGAACTAAGCAAACAACTAGAACAGGAACAAAATCAGAGAAATGGAGATCACATGGAGGGTTATCAGCAGGGAGGCAGAGGGAGGATAATGGGGAAAAGGTACAGGGAATAAGAAGCATAAATGGTAGGTACAAAATAGATAGGGGGAGGTTAAGAATAGTATAGGAGATAGAGAAACCAAAGAACTTGTATGTACAATCCATGGACATGAACTAAGAGGGGGAGGAATGCTGGTAGAAGTGGGGTACAGGGCAGAGGGGAATAAAGGGGAGAAAAAATGGGACAGCTTTAATAGCATAATCAATAAAAGATACTATTTTTAGGATTTTATTTTTAAATTATTATTTTATTTTTTTATTGTTCAAATACATTTGTCTCCATTTTACCGCCACTACTTTCCCATGCCCCACCCACCCCCACCTCCCAACCTCAATCCTTCCCCACTTTGGCTTTGTCCATGGGTCCTTTATACATGTTCCTTGATTCAACCCTTCCCCTTCTTTTCCCTGTTATCCCTCCCTCCCCCATCTCGTTACTGTCAGTCTGTTTTTTTCTTTCAATGTTGCTGGTTATATTTTTCTTGTTTGTTTTGTTGATTAGGTTCCACTTATAGGTGAGATCATCAATAAAATATACTTCAAAAAATAAATGAACAGTTTTTAAAATGAAATTTCTGGTTTTGAGTTTATGCACACTATATTTGTTGACCATGTGTCTACTGTTGTTAATTTTGGAAGAGAGATAAAGGAGAAAGAGTAACAACCAGAACTGGGGTATAGCTTCCACTAACAGCTGTGTAGTAGAAGATTGAAGGGGATTTTGTTGCCCATTGGTGCTATAACTGCTCTGATCAGCATTTGCATTAAGAGGAACAGTATGGGCATTTTTAAGTTAGTATTTAATTGACTTGTAATAGATAAGATACAGTATTTGATACTCTAACTTTCATCTTGATCTTGAATAGTTTACCTGTAGTCATATGACAATCAAATAACATATCAGTATTTGGCTCTCTCCTATCTCTGAAATTTAGTCCTTTTTCATTTCTCTAATGTCAACTCCTTACTCCCCTATGATTCTAAAAACCTCAAAAATTTGGAGAACACAGTACTTTTTAGGACTTGTGACCATTTTACCTTTTTAATCAAAGTGACTATTCAACTTTCTGTCATTTTGACATTTACTTAAAAAGCTAGTGGATTCCCATCCTACTTGCTGTAAGTGTAGATGTTTATGCCTAAATTTTTTGCTTCATAGGTTGCAAAGTTGTTCAAAAAGTTCTTACCATTGACATGCTGCTTCTTGCCTTTTCTTTCAGGTTGACAATAAATGCCCTTGCCCAGAAGCTCAATGCTTATTGGAAAGAAAAGACTTCCCAAGAAAATTTTGAGACCCCAGCCATAGCCAGGACAATACCGTGAGTAGGAATTATAGAATATTAGAGGTAATGTCTATAGAGCACATGTAAGGAACGATAATAAGATGGGGCTTTTCACATAAAGAAATTTAACTAAAACTGGGAAATCACAGGTACTAATTTTATCATTCTCTAGAACTCTTCATTCTGGTTTAACACTTGTGTGGTTTAGATTATAAATATGAAGAAGTTAGTATGTTCAGTTTATTCTGTAGGAAGTATGATATAGAAGATGATGGGCATTTAAATCAGGTAGTTCTGGGTTGAAAATCTGGTTCTGCTTCTTAATAGTTGGGTGAATTTGCATAGGTCACTTCACCTCTTTGACTATAACAAATTAGATGTTATAACATTTTTAGCACAGTGCCTGGCATATAATAGGTATTCAGAAATGTTAGCAAACTTTCCTTCTCTTTATTCCTAGAGAACATTGTTGGAACTGTACCATGGAATATGACAGCAGAAGTAGAAAACCCGGCATATCAGAAAAAAGGTAGACTATTAAATCTGAAACCAAGAAGTACACACAGAACTCTGCATCAAGATGAACTGCCTCAGTAGGCCAGGAAAAGAACATAATGTAGATGATTAATATAGTATGTGTAATACACATATACAGTCAGTTATACCACCATCAAGACAAAGACAGTGTATTTAAAGTTCATTTTGAACTAGGCACCCACCTGTGTTTTGTTTCATAGAAATTATCAGGAAAAGGGCTCAGGCTGGTGTGGCTCAGTGGATTGAGCAATAGCCTGTGAACCAAAGGGTCACCAGTTTGATTTACAGTTAGGGCAAATGCCTGGGTTGCAGGCCAGGTCCCTAGTGGGGTGCATGCAAGAGGCAACCACATGTTGATGTTTCTCTCCCTCTCTCCGAACCTTCCCCTCTGTCAAAAATAAATAAATAAAATCTTTAAAAAATGTAAAAATCTATCAGGAAATGATATGATATAAAATGGAAATGATATAAAATTTTGTTTCAAATGTAACCTAAGTACTCTATAAGTATTATCATCTTATTCTAAATATCTTACTCATGTCTGACTTCCATAGTTTTCAAAGACATGAAAATTAAGATGAGATGCTATTTTTTGCCCTTTTAAATAATCAATGATTAGTGCAATAAAGCAGATGTTCAGATATTCCTGGAATGTGTATATGTATGTTATGTAATCTTTCTGGAAACAGGATTGTAATAATGATTATTCTTTATTGACTACTTACCAATGTACCAGGCACTGGTATAAATTTTTTACTTGTATTTTACATGTATTGACTCATAAAACAACCATATGAGATAGACAGATATTATTACTTCTTTACAAATGTAGACAGTGATACACTGAGAGCTTAAGTAACTTGCTCAGGATTAGACAGGTATAAAGGGGTATAGCTAAGGTTCATATATAGGCAGTCAGGCTCCAAGACCCAAGTTGCTAACCATGACACTCTTCTGGAACAATCCAATGAGAATAATATGGTATAACTCCTTCAACTACCTATTTATTGCAAACAGAAGATAAAAGACTTTCCTGTCTGTCTGGATAGAAGTATCGACTATGGTCTGCATGTAACCTGAGATAGGTAGTTTCTGTTTTCAATGTTTGTCCCCAAGAGAGTAATATTGATATACTTCTGCCAGAGACTTCTCTGTGCATGTGCATATAAAACCAAAGCTAATATGACCTTTCCGCTCCCCTCCCACTACTGCTGAAACTGATTCTTGCTGCTCTGGCTCTGAACAAAACAGTGGCTATATAAAAATATATAGACACCAGAGGTCAGGCCTGAGATACAGCTTACAGGTTACAAGGCTGGAGAAGCCTGGAGCTAGGAGGTGAGAAGCTATATATCAAAAAATCTGTATGAATTATCTTCTTTAAAACATACTGTATTTGGGAGAACCAAAATGGCGGAGGAGTGAGTGGAAGTCACACTGACCTCCTTCCAGGACCAACCTGGAATTACAACCAAATTGTGGAGAAATCACTGGGAACAAATAATTGAACAGTAGTGAAAGAGGAGACTAATAACCTCAGACAGACAGAAGAATCAGCTCTAGCACAAACTAACTGGTAAGGAGTGCGGTAGAGACTCGAGAAGTGGGGCGGGGTGCCCACGGGTGGCAGCACCAGAAGGACATTGAAATGGCCAGTTGGATCCCCCTGAGAACAGCGTGGTCTAAATCATAGGTGGGGATCTCCAGCCTACTTCACCAAAGCCCAAAAAGTACACAGATAACAGCCAGCTGCGAAAAGCAGCAGGGTTGCTCTCTGCCAGAGACAGGCGTCTAGAGACACAAAGAACTGTTTAAAAGGCAAACACATAAATTTTTATTTGCAGTCATTTACCCTGGGCTTTGGCAAAGGTGGGGACAGAGTAGACTGGAGACACCTGAGGAGATACTGGGGAAGGAGGCTTTGGGGAGAGAACTGACAGAGTAGCTGTTGGGTTCTGGTGCTGACTCATCCCTCATATGACAGCAGCCATCTTGCTCAGGCAGAGACCACTCCCCTGAGCAGTGACAGCATGAGAGGACCTAATAGCTCCACTTCCAGGAGGGCCTTGGCTCTGCCCTGTGGTGTCTCTGAGCTGGTCTGCTGAGTGCAGAGTGGCAGCCACAGATAGTAGATCCTTGGCTAAAGGGGGTGCAGATTGGTCTAGAGACACTTGAGGAAAGACTGGAGATTGAGGCTTTGTGGAGATAATGGAGAGAGTAGCTAGCAGGATTCCAGTGCTCACTCCTCTCCCATATGGGAGCAGCCATCTTGCTCAGGGAGACCACTCCCCTGGATAAGGCAGCATGAGAGGACCCAATAACCCTGCCCCAAGGAGGGAGTCTGCCCCACTCTTTGGTGTCTTTAAAGAAGCTTTCTGAGAGCAGACACACTAGATTAATAGCTGAAGGAGAGAGACACAGACGGTAGATTTCTGGAAGTCTTGAACAGACTGCCTAAGGTTAGACAGGGTCTACATCTGATATCATCAGAGGCATATCCATAGAGGAAAAACAAAACAAAACAAAACAAAACAAAAAACAGCAGCCTCCTACCATAGAAGTACACACTACAAAGTCAGAAAATCAAGACAGATCCATTTAAGAAGCAGAAGCAGAAAAGAAGAGCCCCAACAATAATTGGAAGACAAAGAAACAAACCCCAGTCTAAGGGGAAGGAGGAATCCTCACAAAGAGAACTAAATGAAATAGAGGCAAGTAAACTATCAGATATTGAGTTCAAAACAACAGTTCTAGGGAAGCTCAATGAGCTCAGTGAGCTCAGAGAGAACTACAAAAAACTACAGGGAAACTATGAGGATCTTACTGCAAACTATATCAGCATGAAAAAGGACATAGAAACTATCAATAAGAGACAAGAAGAAATGAAGAATACAATTTCTGAATTGAAGAACACAGTAGAAGGATTCAAAGGAGGCTAGAGAAGCAGAAGGTCAAATCAGTGAGCTGGAGGACTAGGTAGAAACAAAGCTCCCAGAAAGAGCGAGAAAATGAAAAAAGACTCAAAAAGAATTAGGAGGCATTTAGGCAAATGCAGGACAACCTGAACCATAATAATACCCTATAATAGGGACACCAGAAGGAGAAGAAGAAGATCAAGAGATAGAAAACCTGTTTGAAAAGGTAATGATGGAATAATTGCCTAACTGGAGGAGAGAAAAAGTCACCCAAGTCCAGGAATCACAGAGGGTCCCATTCAATAGGAACCCAATGAGGCCCACTGCAAGACACATCATCATTAAAATGGCAAATATCAAAGACAAAGAGAGAATCCTCAAGGCAGCAAGGGAGAAACAGGGAGTAACATACAAGGGGGCCTTGGTATGGCTAGCAGCTGACTTCTCAACAGAAACACTACAAGCCAGAAGGGAGTAGCAAGAAATATTCCAAGTAATGAAAAGCAAAGGCCTGTAACCAAGACTGCTCTACCCAGCAAGGCTCTCAATTAAAATGGAAGGTGAAATACGGAGGTGTTCTGACAATAAAAGGCTAAAAGAATACACCTACACCAAACCAGCATTGCAAAAAACACTGAATGGACTGCTCTAAGATGAAGAAAAAGTTTCTATGAATATCCAGTTATTTTCGCAGTAATGAATACTTGATATTATCAATATTTTTAATACTTAGTAATCTGATTGTGACAATGATGTGTTATGTTAATTGTTCCTTTATTGTTTGTTGAAATTAAACCTGTTTTTGTATACTGCTTGCCTATTTCTATTATTTTAAAAAAGCTTTAAATGACTTTTTAGTATTTATCCATTTTTAAATTAAAGGTTTGAAGAATTTTTGCCTTAAAGAAGAAAAAAAACCCTATGAACCCTATTTTTTGATGTGTTGCAGATACTTTCCTATTCTATTACTTGTCCTGTAACTTTTTTATAGGTCTATTACTATATAGTCTTAAATGTTTAATATAGTCATATTGTCAATATTTTACTTTATTGCTTCTGGGGCTTGAATATGTTATTTTGGGGTAGAAAAATATTATTTTGAATTATCTCCAAAAACTCCTTACATTTTACATATTGATTTTTAACTCAACTGAGTATTTCCTGTATACTGTGTGAAACAGAGTTCTGTAGTTGTTTTATTTCTAGTAATAGTGGTCCATGCACCTTATTTGTTGAATAAGCCTTCTTTTCTCCACTGATTTGAAATATCAATTTAATCATACATTACATTGTTAGACAGACATATATACATTTGTTTCAAGAATGCTAATTTTATTTCATTGATCTACTTGATTATTCCTGTGCTGGTGTCATGTTGTTTTAATTGCTGAGACTTATAATGGATTTAAATTTTTTAATACTTTATAATGGATCTTGACATTTAAAAAGTAAAGAGAATCAATCTGGATTTAAGAAAAGAAGGAAGGAAGGAAGGAAGGAAGGAAGGAAGGAAGGAAGGAAGGAAGGAAGGAAGGAAGGAAGGGAGGACAAAAGAAAGGAAGGAAGAAAGAAAAAGGATCTCTTACCTTTTGCAACAACATGGATGAAACTGGAGAATAGATTAGCTAGTCGGTGAAAGACAAATACCATATGACCTCACCTATAAGTGGAATCTATTCGAGAAAATAAAGTAATGAACAAAAAAAAGCACAAACATGGAAACATGGAGCAGACTGAAAGTGACCAGAGGGGATGGGGAAGGAGGACAATGGTGGAAAGAAGGAAAAGGGACTAAATAAACAACATGTATGAATGACACGTGGACATGGACAACAGAGTGGGAATCGACTGTGAATGAGGGGAGCAGGGTGGGATGGCTGAAGGGGGGTAAAAGGGTAAAAATTGAGACAACTGTAATAGAATAAACATGATTTAAAAATTAAAAAATAATTAAAAATGAAAAAATACATTTGTATTTGAGTGGTAAAATTGAGTGCCTTTTTGTTTTATACCTTTCTCTATTTTCTTTTAGAACTTTGAAAATTTTTTAAATTAATTTATTTTTCCAGATACATTTGTATCTGCCTTCCCCCGCCACCACTTCCCCCTGTCCCCTACCCCCACTTCTTCCCTCAATCATTCCCCACTTTGATTTTGTCCATGAGTCCTTGCTATATGTTCCGTGACTCGCCCCCTTCCCTTCCTTTTCCCCTGCCCACTCCTCCTTCCTTTCCTCTGGTCTCTGTTGGTTTCTTTTTCTTTCAGTGTTGCTGGTCTTATTTTCCTTTCATCTTCATTTTGTTGGTTAGGTTTCACTTATAGGTGAGATCATATGGTATTTGTCTTTTGCCCCCTGGCTTATTTTGCTTAGCATAATGCTCTCTAGTTCTATCCATGCTGTCGCGAAGTATAGTAGTTCTTTTTTCTTCCTGCTGCGTAGTATTCCATTGTGTAAATGTACCATAGTTTTTGATCCACTCATCTACCGATGGGCATTTAGGTTGCCTTCCAACACTTGGCTATTATAAATTGTGCTGCTATGAACATTGGAGTGCATAGGTTCTTTTGAATAGGTATTTTGGGGTTCTTAGGGTATAGTCCCACCACCGGAAACAATAGATCAAAAAGCAGTTTCATTTTTAGCTTTTTGAGTAAATTATACACTGCTTTCCACAATGGCTGCACCAGTCTGAATTGCCACCAACAGTGTTGTAGTGTTCTCTTTTCTCCACAACCTCGCCAGCACCTGTTGTTTCTTGATCTGTTTATGATGGCTATTCTAACCGGTGTGAAGTGGTATCTCATTGTGGTTTTGATCTGCATTTCTCTGATGACTAGTGATGCTGAGCATCCTTTCAAAGGTCTCTGGGCCCTCTGTACCTCTTTCTTGGAAAAGTGTCTGCCCAGATCCTATACACATTTTTTAATTGGATCGTTTCTCTTCTTGTAGTGGAGTCATGTGAGTTCGTTATATATTTTGGAGATAAAACCTCTATCTGATGTATCATTGGCAAATAGACTTTCCCACACGGTTGGCTCCCTTTTCATTTTGCTGATGTTTTCTTTCGCCATGCAGAAGCTTCTTATTTTGATGAGGTCCCATTTGTTTATTCTTTCCTTTATGTGCCTTGCTTTAGAGGAAATATCGCTGAAAATATTGCTGCATGAGATATCTGAAAGTTTCCTGCCTATATTCTGCTCTAGGACTTTTATGGTTTTGAGACTTATATTTAAGTCTTTTATCCATCTTGAGTTTATTTTTGTGTATGTTGTCTGCTGATGATCAAATTTCAATTTTTTGCATGCAGCTGTCCAGCTCTCCCAACAGCATTTGTTGAAGAGGCTATTTTTTCTGCACTTTATGCTTCTGCCCTCTTCGTCAAATACTACTTGCCCATATAGACATGGGCTTATTTCTGGGCTTTCTATTCTGTTCCAATGGTCTATGAGTCTGTTCTTGTGCCAGTACCAGGTTGTTTTGAGAATAGTGGCTTTGTAGTATAGTTTGATATCCAGTATTGTGATCCCTCCTACTTTGTTTTTCTTTCTCAAAATTGCTGTGGCTTCTCAGGGTCGTTTATGGTTCCATATAAGTTTTTGAAATATCTGTTCTATGTCTGTCAAATAGGTCATTGGTATCTTAATATGGGTTGCGTTGAATCTATAAATTGCTTTGGGTAGCATGGACATTTTGATGATAATAATTCTTCCAATCCATGAGCAGGGTATATGCTTCCATTTATTTGTGTCTTCCTTAATTTCTTTCTTCAATGTTGTATAGTTTTCTTCATACAAGTCTTTCAACACCTTGGTTAAATTTATTCCTAGATACTTGATTTTTCTTGTTGATATATCAAATGTTATTTTTTTCTGATGTCTTCTTCTTCTATTTCATTGTTGGTGTACAAAATGCCTTTGATTTCTGAACATTGACTTTGTACCCTGCTGTTTTGCCAAATTCACTTATTAGGTTGAGGAGTTTTTTGGTAGAGTCTACAGGGTTTTCTATGTACACTATTATGTCATCTGCAAACAATGATGGTTTTACTTCCTCCATTCCAATTTGGATACCTTTTATTTATTTTTCCTGTCTGACTGCTGTGGCTAGGACTTCCAATACTATATTGAATAGAAGTGGTGAAAGTAGACATCCTTGTCCTGTTCCTGATGTTAGTGGGAAAGCTTTTAGTTTTTGCCCATTGAGTATGATGTTAGCTATAGGTTTTTCATATATGGCCTTTATTACATTGAGGAATGCCCCATTTATTTCCATTTTGCTGAGTGTTTTGATCATAAATGGGTGCTGTACGTTATCGAATGCTTTTTCTGCATTTATCAAGATGATCGTGTGGTTTTTGTCTTTTTTTTTACTTATGTGTTGTATTAAATTTATTGATTTGCTTATATTGAGCCATCCCTGCATCCTTGAGATGAATCCCACTTGATCATGGTGAATAATCTTTTTAATGTATTTCTGGATGTAGTTTGCCAATATTTTGTTGAGGATTTTAGCGTCTATGTTCATCAATGAAATTGGCCTGTAGTTTTCTTTCTTTGTAGGATCTTTATCTGGTTTTGGTATTTGGGTGATGCTAGCCTCATAAAAATAGTCTGGGGTCTTCCCTCCTCTTGGATTTTTTGGAATAGTCTGAGAAGGACAGGGGTTAGCTCTTCCATAAATGTTTTGTAAAATTATCCTGTGAAACAATCAGGCCCAGGTTTTTGTGTGGTGGGAGTTTCTTGATTACTGCTTGAATTTCTCCAGCTGTTATTGATCTGTTCAAACTTTCTGTTTCTTCTTCCTTCAGTGTTGGAACATTATACTTTTCTAAAAATTTGTCCATTTCGTCAAGATTTTCAAATTTTTGGCATATAATTGTTCATAGTAGTTTCTTAGAATGCTTTGCATTTCTGTGGTATCAGTTGTTATTTCTCCTCTTTCATTTCTGATATTATTTATTTGCATCCTCTCTCTTTTTGTCTTGATGCGTCTGCTTAAAGGCTTGTCAATAATATTTATGTTTTCAAAGAACCAGCTCCTCGATTGGTTGATCCTTTGCATTGTTCTTTTCATTTCTATGTTATTCAGTTTGCTCTGATCTTGATTATTTCCTTCCTTCTACTTGCTCTGGGATTTATTTGTTGTTGTTTCTCCAGTTCTTGAAGTTGTAATGTTAGGTCTTTTTCTTGAAATGTTTCTATTTTTTTTTTTTTTTAGGTAAGCCTCTATTGCTATGAACTTCCCTATCAGGACTGCCTTTGCTGTGTCTTTATCTATTTCTAGTTTTTTCCTATAATAAGCTTATACTATTATATTAGAAAAATCACTATTTATAAAGATAATAAACATTGAACTATGACATAAGAAATCACATCACTCTATTGAAATATCTAGTGTAAGATCAATATAAATATAACACACAAAAGCAGCCCTAGGATAAATTATGTTTTTCAAATTGGTCCTAGGTCACCCTCTATCCTCTTTCTGTGTCTTTTCTCCAGCCCTCCCCCTTCCCACTCCTTTCATACCTTAGATGGTGACTATTTCTATTATACACAGAGCACCTTCTTTCACAGAGAAACAAATTTTCTTTAAGGTGAAGGTGACTGGATATGCTTCCTGGGCAGGGGTGGGGAAGGGGAATCGGAGAGAGTATGTGTATTAAAAGTATAATTCTGGAAGATTTTATCTTAATAATTTTACCCAATTTTGGGGCAGCAGCCACCATTTCTAGTTATAAAATTTATTCAAATTTATATTACTTTTTTAAGATTAACTTTGAAAATATCAACCTAATAAAATTTTGATTAAAGTATACACAGAGACTGCTTTTGATAGGAAAAAAGTAGGGACTCTGTAGGGTAATGGAGAGGTAGAAGTTTTGATGATGATTCTTCAATAACTCCCATAAGTGCATTTTAAACTTGTCGCAGGATTGTATAGAATCAACCAAAATGATTCTCTGTGTTTTATTTCTTGGAGAGATACACACACACACACACACACACACACACACACAAATATATATAATTTTTATTAATTAATTTTAGAGTTAACATTATCCTCTTGTTCACTTGCTTAGAACAAGAGATTCCAGGATGAATATTATTGACCTTCATAAGTAATGGTAGCTTACCATATTTATTACTCTTGTTCATATCCATATCTGGCATAATTCCATCATTTTTTTTCTGTGAAGTTCAAGATATATACATTTTTAGACACCTAGACTGTAACAGTTATAATGCATTTCATATATAAAATTGTTATTTCACTTTTATGGTGTGCCTAATTGAAGACGTAGCACAGAGCTAAGATACACACAGTGATACTTCTGTTTTTCTTCATTCAGGAAGATTCCTGACCAGACATGGGTACAGTGTGATGAGTGTCTTAAATGGAGGAAGCTTCCTGGTAAGGTTGATCCATCTACCTTACCTGCAAGATGGTTTTGTTACTATAATTCCCATCCAAAATACAGGTAAGCATAAGATTCAACCTTGTGCCGGAAATAACTCCTGATTTGGCTCTATATTCTAATACATTTTTCATCCCAAGTCCACACTCTTCATCCCGGCATTCCAGCCTCCATGCCAGCTGGTCCCCCCCTGCCTATCCAGCCTTATTTTTCTTTTATCTTAACACAAACCCTATGCTTTAGCCAAGCCTATTGCTTCTCTATTCCCCACTCATGCCACACTTATTTCCTCCTCCATGACTTGATAATGTCATTCCACTTGCTTATAATGATTTTATGCATTCATGTGCCTATCTAAATCATATCCATATCTAATACTTAAGTATTTTGTGTGATAACTTCTGTTGACAGTAGTTTAGAGTATTATACTCTGGGTTCCTGTGGTACTTAATTCTTGTCATTTGTTCACATAATGTTTTGTAATTTTTGGGTGTTTTTCATATGTATGTACTTTGGCTCTTCAAGAGATTGTAAGCTGTTTGAGAACAAAGGCTTTACATTTCAGGTTGAGTTGATAGTTTTCTTCATATGCTTCCTATACCTGCATCTGTTGTAATACCTATTGTACATTCAATGTTGTTTGTTTACATGTTTGTCTTCTTAGTGTACTATATGTTCCTTGTAGCATCAAATGTCTAGATAGTGCCTGGCATATCCATGAACATTCTTTTCAATTTAACAAATTTTTTTATTTGTTTCAGTAGTCACATAGGTTTAAAATAATGACTCAGTTTGCTTCATTTCAGCTGTGATGCAATTTTTTTTCTCCTCAGGATAAATGCTTATAGAATAAAGGTACTAGGCACTCTCCCTCCCAGCAATATAGCCAAGGCCATTTTTCCCTCTCAGTTGTGCATCTCCTAAACTTTAAGGGTTCCCATGAGACTTGCGACCAGAGAAGCAATGGTCAGGGACAGCTCATCCTCGGCTAACCCCCTGAACCTGTCTCCAGGGCTCCCTTTTTCTATGACTTTCCACTGAGCCAAAGCAGCCCTGCTTAAGCTCTCTCTTGTTACTTTTTCTATCCCAAGCCTTTCCTTTGTTTCACTGTGCCCAGCTTTAATAAGAGTACTCTCAAAATAAAAAAAAAAGAAAGAAAAAGAAAAAAGGTACTAAAACAGAGTATGCTTTCTAGAAAAAGTGTTTAAAATGGAGGGAATTAAATAAAATCTGGGGCTGTGATGAGTAAGCATTCCTTTATATTCTCCAGCTGTGCCTAAGCATCACTCCATGGAGAGTAATTGGGATTGTGATTAGAATATGGGACTGAGTGCTTAGAAGTCTCATTTTTTTTTTATCCTGTATCTCCTATGGGTTTACACTTAGTCCAGGAGACATAGCCTTCCAGGATACTTTGCCCCCTTATAAAGTGGGTATAGCATAGGGTTTCCAGTTATTAGTAATTTTATTTGTTTCTAGGATTACTTTTGACCATTGACTGCTTTTCCTAGTACTGCTTTCAGTTTTTGCCCCTCTAAAATTCTCTTCTTCATGCTTTACATATAGCAAATATATGTATATCTTTTCACTTATAGAATCCTCTTTTTTCTTCTCTTTTCTAATCTCTGTTCTATTCTTTTTATGATGTAAGCTCCTACTTCCTTATTGCTGTTTTCTACCATAGCCTTTCATTTTCTTCTTCAGGCATCATCACCTGGTTTAGGAATTCTCATGCTTCTAGACTGCATCTTGGGAATTACTTTCTCAGTAAATGAGAGGCAAAACAATGCTCTCTTTGTATGGAACCTCAAGCAAGTCTCTTATGTGCTTGAACTTCACTGGGTAGGAATAGAAATTATGCTTTGTGCTGTCCACCATAATATGAATATTATAGCTGTCAAGTACTTTGAATGTCTTGGGAGACAAGTGATATATGCTCCCCAAATAATTAGATGATAGTATGCCTTGAAATAAGAATTGCTACACATTAACCTACACAGAGGTTTTATAATGTGGTTGGATCTGACCTTTATAAGGTTAGAGGGTTATTAAGCTGCCTTGTCACAATTGTGAGGAAAGGAAAGGGTAAAAGTGAAGGACACATTTTGTTTCCAAAAGATGATTTCTTCTCTGCACTGCAGGAGATGCTCTGTTCCAGAAGAACAAGAACTCATTGATGAAGACCTGTACTTGAACAAAGCTAAGAAACAGTTGAGTATACCTAATGTGGTATTCTATGTCACACAGTAGAGGAGGCTTTCCCTTTCTAATAGAACAGGGGAGGTTTGAAAAGAGAGATAACCTTTTCCTTTTTTGGTTTTTAATGATTTACCTCCTCACCCCTCTGTTCTCCCAGTTCTTTATTACTTTTAATCATGTCCTGAGTTTCTCAACTAGGGATTGTCTTTAGTCTCTCTTCCTCCCCTCCCTCTCTCTCTTTCTATGGGGCATCTGAAATTTCTCTTTAGTAGCAGAGTTTAGGAAGTCACCTAAACTTAGCTTGAACTGAATGAGGCCCACACTATTTCTAATTTGGCAAGAACATTAAAACCTAACTCTGCAATTGGTAATCTATTTTAGACTGAGAAATTTCATGAGTGAACTAAATAGCACTTTTATCTTCTAGAGATCAAACTATTGAGAAGAGGAAGGTGCCAATGGAAAATGAGAACCACCAGGTGAGATACAGTCCTCCCCCTTCCTTTTCTCATGCAAAATTTTCCCCTACAGAGGATATAGGTTGAAGGAAGCAGCAGTCTTGAAAGCTGCATAGAAATAATGAACCATTTCTTCTGGTGGTCCTATTTTTTCATTTGATCTTTTGATTTTGCTGTGATCTGGTGTTGCTGATGTTCAGATCACCAAAAATAGAAGAGCCAAATCATTTATTTCCCAGATTTGGATTCAGTACAGATTCGGGACAGTGTTAATGTCACCTTCAGTGTAACAGAATTTTCAGGGTTCTGTTCCATCCTTATACAGGTTGCTCCTGTCGAGTGTCTGGTTTTTCTCAGTTTTCTTTCTGCCAGGATTCAGGGGTATTCCTCCTTCCTTTTGGGACGAAAGGGTGGTTCTTTGTACCCTTCCCCCATCCCTGCTTTCAGGCTGGCTGGCTTTATAAAGACTCTGCTGTTTTGAATTTTCAGGAGCACTGTCTCTCGGACATGGTTGCCCAGTTCCGGACGCTGAAGGGTGCAATAAGGTTGGCCGTCCTTTCAGGGACACTTCTTTCCTGACAGCCACCATAGCACCCATATCTCTCTCCCCACCCCAACCTTGCTTTTCTGCATGATTTTCCTGTTGACCCTCTTTCTCTGAGATATCTACTAGTCGCATGTCAGATTCACCTTCAACCCACTCAATCAGAGTAGGTCAGACTGGTGAGGATAGAGGCAATTCAATACTAATTCTTCTGACAGTTTACTGAGACCCAGGTATATGAATATTCAGGTTTTATGCCCTACTGTCTTGGCTTAATAATCTGATCTAAAGATTGGGAGATTTCCTGGGACAGCCCTGTCCTCATTCAGTTTACCTCTCCATTATATTCCTTCACCTTCATCATTCATACTATTTTCATAAGCTGGCTCTCCCACAAGATCCCAGATGCATGACTCTGTGTGTGTGCACTATGAATAAGTGTTAATGTGTTGCATGCATTTTTCCAAAACCAGCACCAACACATGCGGCAATGCTTCTTCCTTCCATCCATACCCTCATCACAGATCTCAGAGGAGTGGAAATCCAGCCTTAAATTTGGTTACAAGAGAGAATTAGACACTGACTAGGGAGTCTGGGTTTATGCTCTGGGTGGGATGACTGTAGGAGCCAATAAGTGAGTTGGGAAGGTCTGTTGGCCTCCAGCTGATAAGGTTATAATTGAATGTGCCTGGGTTCAGTTTTCTAGTGTACATTACTGTGTGCTGTTGTTCTGTATAGGAAACAGTTTCTTTTCATTTGGCCAAGTGTTCTTTCCTAGCATCAGAAGGATAACTCATCCTTGGTATTTAGTTTGAAGTTGGGGTTTTTATACAACATATTTTTCTTTGCTAGGTATTCACTAACCCACTCAAGAACCCTACTATTCAAGATATGGATGAATTAAATAATAAAACAATTGGATATGAGGAAATCGATAGACCTAGCCAGCTTCCATCTGTTGGAGAAGAAAGCAGAACACCTGTTTTTCAACTTAAGCCTCTGGATTCCAGTGTTTTTCAGTTTTCCAGGTGGGTAAGAAACATAGTGTCTCTTCAATAATAAGCCTCAGGGCTCATTTTCCTGTAAAATAAGTTAGTATGGTTATCATGTTTATGTTTCTACTAAGGCATAGCATGGAATTCAGAAGGACAAATACCATTTTGGGTTGATAGAATTGTGTGTTGTATGTGCCTCCAGTTATTCAACATTACAACTGCTATGTCAAATCTGTCTATCTGTCCTTTTCACTTACTTTTTTTTGTACTTTTTTATGTTCAAATACATTTGTCTCCACTTCCTGACATCACTTACCTCTGCCCCCCAACCCACACCTCCCACCCTCAATCCTTCCCCACTTTGGCTTTGTCCATGGGTCCTTTATACATGTTTCTTGACTTGATCCTTCTCCTTCTTTTCCCCGTTACCCCCCTCCCCTCTCATTACTGTCAGTTTGTTATTTCTTTCAATGTTGTTGGTTATATTTTTCTTGCTCATTTTGTTGATTAGGTTCCATTTATAGGTGACATCATATGGTATTTGTCTTTTACTGCCTGGCTTATTTCGCTTAGCATAAGGCTCTCCAGTTCCATCCACGTTGTTGCGAAGAGTAGGAGTTCTTCCTTTCTTTCTGCTGTGCAGTATTCCATTGTGTAAATGAACCATAACTTTTTGATCTGCTCATTTATTCACGGACACTTAGGTTACTTTCAGCACTTGGCTATTGTAAATTATGCTACTATGAACGTTGGGGTGCATAGGTTCTTTTGAACTGGTGTTTCGGGATTCCTTGGGTCTAATACCAGCAGTGGAATTGCTGGATCAAAAGGCAGTTCTATCTTTTTCTTTTTGAGGAAATTCCAAACTTTTCCACAGTGGTTGCACCAATCTTCATTCCCACCAAGAGTGTACTAGGGTTCCTTTTTCTCCACAACCTCCCAGTACCCATTGTTGGTTGATCTGTTTATGATGGTCATTCTGACCGGTGTGAAGTGGTATCTCATTGTGGTTTTAATTTGCAGTTCTCTGATGGTTAGTAATTAAAAACATCCTTTCATATATCTCTGGGCCCTTTGTATGTCCTCCTTGTAGAAGTGTCTGTTCAGGCCCTTTGCCCAATTTTTAATAGGATTGTTTGTCTTCCTGGAGTGGAGTTTTGTGAGTTCTTTACATATTTTGGAGATCAAGCCTTTGTTTGAAGTATCATTGGCAAATATATTTTCCCATACAGTTGGTTCCCTTTTCAGTTGGCTAATGTTTTCTTTAGCCATTCAGAAGCTTATTTTGATGAAGTCCCATTTGTTTATTCTTTCCTTTATGCTATATATTGCTTTGAGTAGTATGGACATTTTGATGATGTTAACTCTTCCAATCTATGAACATGGAATATTCTTCCATTTATTTGTGTATTCCTTAATTTCTTTATTCAGTGTTGTGTAGTTTTCTGCATACAGGTCTTTTACCTCCTTGGTTAAGTTTATTCATAGGTGTGGGAGTCTTTGTCCCACAGAATCCTCCCGGCCTTCATGGATGAGAATAAGTCATTCCAGACACACTGTCTGCCAGGAGAAAGAGGTGGCAATTCCCTCTAGTAGAGAATGCCCCGAACCCTTCCCTGACATGGCTTTTATTGGAATTAGTATGGGCAGGGGTATACAACAAGCATGCAAAGCTTATCAATCAATGTCTAAAGGCTATATTTACAGAAAACAGATAGAGATTGTAGATAACAATTGAAGGAACTCAGAAAGTTGCCTCAGGTCCGGGTCTGTTAGACATGCTGAGATCAGATGGTCATTAAGACCAGGCTCCTGAATTCAGGAATTCACTCCTGTTTGGAGCTTAAATATCTGGTTTATATTAAAAAGGCTGTACAAAGCAAAGCAAGCTTAAAAGTGCACAATGCATTTTTCAGACCTGATTTCCCATGGGAACCCTCAGTGTTAGCATAGGGTCATGTCTACCTCCCAGCATTCCCAGTTTTCTCGTCAAGACTTACAGGTTCCTTTAAGTCCTGGCTCACAGGGGGCTACAATTCCCAATACTACACAAAGTGGTCTCCAACATCTCCCCCCCCCCTTTTTTTTGTTAAGGTAGACATAGCAGTAAGTCCGATGAAGCTTGCTACTTGCTTTTCACGTACACGATCTCTGGAAAACAATTTGCAAATGCATCTCAAGGCACAAAAGGTGACAATGATCAGGAGGCATCCCATAGCCCCCATGACCCAGATACATAAATTCAGTCCCTCAAATCAGGTTTTCAGATTAATCTATTGTAAGATGTCATGAAGGGTCTGAAAAACCTTTTGCTCAGTGAGCCATTTAATGTCCTAGAGCTGTTGGTGCAGTTCAAGTTGGAGTTGATCAACATGTCCTTTAAGGTTAGCAGAAAAGATCCCCCAAAGGCTATGTTGTGTCTCCTCCCAAGAGTGCTGGGAAGAGTTCCATTTTAGGGGGGTAACACATAACTTAGAGAAACCTGGGTCACACATAAGTTGTTGGCAAGTGACAAGAGCAGTCTGCTGTTCTCCCAGCCATATTATGGCTGATATGATCCTGTTGAGAGCCTGGAAAGGATCTCCTGGTCAATATGGGTCTGTTGGATCATCTCCTGAGTGGTTCTGGAAATAAGGACATCAACAATATGAGCAGTTTGGACAGATTCTGCTAAGGCAGTGGCAGCCAGTGCCACGGAGACAGCTATGACAATAGCAGAAAAAATGCAGGTGATAAGAACTCCTAAGAAGCACCATACCCTCACTTGGGAGAGAGCATGGTTGAGAGTGGCCAGGCCTCCTGGATCTTCCCATTCATGGGTAACATTAACTGGTAGCCAGGTTTCTGTTTGTCTGTGAACTACAAAAACCATAGTGAGATTAAGTTGAGTAGCATTAGCGTGGGTAAGACAGCTAGCATAGATAGAGCCAGGAGAAGTATAGAGACTATATATCATAGAATCATCATAGGTTAGATGAGGTGTCCCTGGGACAGCTAGGAAAATATAAGGGTGAGAAATACATACAGTAACCCAGGAATTACTAACATTCTCTAAAATATAATAATCTTTTCTAGACCTTGCCTCTTCTGTATAATGAAGGCATCCTAGGAGGTGTTCTATGGAAGGGAGTCTGATTTTCCAAGTATTAGTATGCCGAGGGCTAGTATGATTTGAAGAGGTGACTTCTATAATAGGGCCTCCAGTTCCCCCCTGTATCACCCTATACTACTGTACATAGTATTAGGTTCAGCAGGGACAATGGCAGAGCCTACACTAGCATGTACTTTCTACTTGACACCCCAGATTTCAGCTGTTAATGGGGTGTTAGAAATATAAATGAGTGGAGCCTGTTGATTTCTACACAATGACCAAGTGACAGGCTCAATAATTTTTGTCTTAATTTTACAAAGGGGTACATCTGAGGGAGTATTATTATCTCTATCTCTTTCTCTTTTAAAGCCTGTGGCTCCTATTAAGGAGACATTAGCTTGAGTCTCCTTACTGTCAGTGGCATGTGCATACTACTTGAAAGTTATAGGTAAACATAGAGTGTGAGGCAAGATGGAAAAACAAGCAGGTAAATGTTCTGACACATAGACAATATTTTCAGGGATGGACAGCCAATGCTATTTTTCTTCTAAAGGCCTGTCCAGAGAAAGCCAGGTACCTCCCGTCCATTTAGTGTCATTGCTAGAAAAAGGAAGCTCTGGATTCCACCAGGTATGGAGTTTAAATATGGGCAGATCAAAGATGTGGCCCCAGTAAACATGCTGAGTATCAGCAGCAAGGCCTAATCTTCCAGAACAAGCTAACAGGACAAGTATCGAAACAGTTCTGATGGAATTAGAGGACATTATTGACAAATAAGCAAGAAATTGATTTTCATGAGTGTCTTGTACTCCTATGTCCTTCATGGCCTCTTCAGCCCTGCTACTAAGGGTTTTTAAGTCTCCCCAAGTTATCCCTTTAGGTTCAGATGGTGGAGTGGTTCCCATGGCCTGCTTCTCCCAGTTCTTGCAATGGGTCCAGATCTGACGTCAGTGCTCGGTCACGGCCATCTGGGACAGCTGTTTGGTCAAGTCCTTAAGATGCTGGATCCTCTATGTCTGAGTTATCCACAAGGGTTGGTGGGTTTGATCTTCCATGATAGGGTTTCACTCTTTCGGTGGGAAGCCACAAAGAACCTGTGGGGAGTGAAACACAAGCATACCCTCTTCCCCACGTTAACAATTCAACTGCCCCCTCCGATTTCCCATCTCCCAAGGCATCTCTGTACAACACTAAGGGATGGGAACCCTTATTATCTACCTTTTGCCAATTGAAGTGTTCCTCAATTGGTGTGTTAAGAGAATTACCACAATTAAGAAAATTGTAAGTATACATGGCCAGCATTATCAGATGTCTGGGAGAGGTTTCCTGTCTCCCCCTTTTTTGTTTATTAAGAAGAGTTTTAAAGGTATGATGAGCACGTTCAACAATTGCTTGACCTGTGGGATTACAAGGGATGCCTGTTTGGTGCAGAATTCCCCATCTTTGTAGGAAACCTTGAGTAGATTGGACTGTATATCCTAGTCTGTTGTTGGTTTTAATTTTCCATGGACAGCCTAAATGGCTAAAAGCCGCAAGCTAATGGGCCTGTATGTTCTTGACTGATTCGCCTGTAATGGCAGAGGTGTGTAATGCCCTAGAGAAGGTATCAATATAGACATGGATAAATTTAAACTTCCCAAAAGGGGGTTAATGGGTGATATCAGTCTGCCAGATTACTTATGGCTCTAAGCCTCGGGGATTTATTCCAATAGATGGCAATGCTTTACCCAATGCCTGGCAATCTGGGCATTCTTTAATAATTTTTTTTAGCTTGAGAAAGAGGGAGTTTAAAACTCCTTGTAAAGTGCATGTCTATTTTGAAAAAAATTGATGAGAGGCAACAGCCTTTTGAAAGGCATTTACTGTGCTCAGTAGAGCATCAGCGTGGGCATTTCCTTCAGACATAGGACCAGGGAGACCTGTATGGGAACACAGATGAGTA